TGGGTCTTTGGCTGCGTGGTGTGTCGGGGGGGGGGGGGGGGGGTGTTAGATATGCTTTAAGATATATGTTTTTCTGTTACTGGAAGAGCGCTTCCTGCCCTCCCATGACAGCAAGTCACAGCCATAATCCTCCACACAAACACCTCACGCATACTTCGCGCTGAGGGGGAAAAAAAACGGTATATCTGCTAGGTCTGTTACATTACAAAGTGCAACAAACAGCGAGGTCATAGCATGAGGTCTATTGTACTGAGCATTTATATTAAAGACAGTGTTCAACCGGAAAAGAAGGTTTGTATATCAGACATTGTACTATTTCAAAAACCTCAATTGAGCTTTACGATCAATATACACCATGAGAACCAGCTGGGCAACCTCTGGGCCTATTCACACGACTGCAGTGCATTAGCATACAGTATTAAACATCTTGCGTTATGGCCATGGCACTGCCACACAGGTCTGTCAGAATGAACAGCATGGCACTGCACCAACGTATGTCACATTCATTGCCTGTGGTAACCGCAACATAATAGTGTCGATGAGCCCTAAAAGATTTAGCAAACAACTAATTGGACATGAGATCAGTTGAAAAGGTTCCACTAACATCTTCTGACTATGGCCAGCTGTTAAATGTCAATGTTAAAGGGACATGGCTAATGCCCATGTCCCATTTTCTATAAAAAGCCATGGACTGGTACATGGACCCCAAGGGGTACTTAAAAAAACAAACAAAAAAAACCAAAAACAAACTTAGTTTAGTTAAAGAAAATGTAGAGATTAAAAGCAGAACTATGAGGCGAGTGATTTTCACTCATCCTCATAGTTCGAGCAGACATGTATCAATGAACCTGTCACACATCAACTTTATAGATCGGGAAATGAGCGAACGCATCCTGCTGCTCGCTCAGTTTCCGATCATCTCCCTGCAGAGATCAGTGACCATCAGTCAGTTTTTTTAATAATTGGGGAGGGCGGCTTTATTTCTTTAAACTTTTCAATTATTTTAATTTTTTCTTTAACCAATTTACTTTACAGTTAGGGTCTTTGGGGAAATATCAGGGGTCTAAACAGACCCCTGATATTTCCCCCTTTTTTATTTTAAAAGGAAGAAGGACGGCAGAGTCCTCAATCTTTTTTTGCAGCTTCAGCACTCAATGAACAGAAAGCACTCAGAGCACTTCCCGTTCATAAATCGGGGACACAGTATCTGTACTCAATTATTTACAAACATCGTAGTGATCAGTGCAATGTTTGAATATTAGAGGGAAATGATCAGCAAATTTCACATATTTGCTAATCATCCTGCAGCTCTCCTCCCCGCACTGCCCGGCCTCCTGACCTTTCTCCTCCCCACTGGGTGCCGGCAGGTGGATCAGTTTTGCCTTCCTGCTGCCGATGGGGGGGGGGGGGGGGGGGGGGGGGGGGGGGGGGGAGAGTAGCGGGATCGGAGGGGATACAACAGACCGCGCAGCATGCTTCCAGCCAGCGTAGAGGAGAAAGCTGCATAGCCAATATGGGGGCATGGGGTTGTGCTCCCCTTAACGCTGGGGCACCGTGCTGCAGAGGTCTGTGTCCTTTTTGACCTCTAGGAGCAAACAGGGATTGGAGGGGAGAGAGCCAATAAAACACTGGCTCCCAGCGTAAAAAGGAGAGAACTAGGAGACCCAAACCAACTAAAATCGATGAGAACGGTTGACCACTTTTCTCACTGATTGGTTGCAGCACTAGACAACAGTAAAGACATGGACATGCTCCAGCAGGATCTGGGCCAGTATCTGCTGTGGGGGTTTTTTCTTGGGGTTTTTCTTTTTTTTTTTTAAAAAGGACAAAGCCTATTCAATGGAATTCTATGAGAAACCAAAATTAAACACTCTTAAAGAGGAACTCCAGGAATCTTAAAAAAAAAAAAAAAAAAGGAGTTAACCTTGTAGTAGGGCTACCCCCACACTGCAATGGTTAACTGCTCATTTTGGCCGGGAGGCTCAAAAT